TTCTTCCTTCCAACTTAATTATGTGGTTACTGTAATTGAATCACAATGGACAAAATGCTTTGCCCCAAATTTTTCTTAAGCATAGAGCATTTCCTACATAATGTGGCACACGGTGATAAGACTTGACTTTACTTGTCACGGTCTTGCTTCCTTCCCAGCTCTGCTGGAGGTACTGGAACTAAAGAGCCAGCTACAGGCAGTGGCAACCATGCTATGTGACATAAGCTTTAGTTCATTACTGCAACAACCACATCCAAGCTGAGAATGATGAAGTATTAGGCAACTGGTGCACACATTAACACACACACACACGCTCCCTCACTCAAGCTTTTAGTTCCTCCCCAGTTTTTAGAAGATTACATTCCAGCTTTTCTTCAAAACAACTGGAAATCTTAACTCTTTCCATTTTTCATGGGTTATTCTCTCTTGCCTTTGTTCACTCTTCCCTAATCAATAATGCAGTTTTCTATAAAAACTGACTGTGATTAATCCAATTCACATTCCAAAGATCACGCCCAGTTAAAACAACTATTCACCTTCTCATGTGTATATATGCACTGACTAGCAGACTGTAGACAAGGATGTGTTGCAAATTTCAGTACTGGTTTGAAATATCATAATGGTAACAGACTTAGGGTTACCTGGTCAAGTCACTTGTATCCATTTATGTATTCAGGGGAAAAATAAACAGAAAGGGAAAAAAAAAAAAAAAGGTAGTTTTAACAATTTGTATTTTTTTTTCTTTGAACTTTATATTTTAATAATCCTACAGGAACTGAAGGAATTTTATATCCAGCAAAGAAGTTAAACTCTGAAAATGCAAAAGTGTATGCAGAATTATAGAAAAGAAATTGGTAGGGCAGCAGAAAGGCTTTTACTCTCATGAAATTTCTGGCTTTCTATAGAAAAAGATTGTAATACTATTATAAAGCTTTCATTTATCATTTGGAGACTGTTTTTCTTTGCCTTATGCATCCTGTGTGGTGAATGTTTCATCAAACAATGTACTTAGCTCTGAAAAAGACTCTTTTGATTCCTTGCACTCAACACAGGCACAAATAGTGACAATATATGGCCCTGTAGCTTCCACAACTGATGAATGCAGAATTTCCACTTGAGTTACAGAAATGAAAATAGGAATGAAGGCTTTTTCTGAATGTGCTTTTAAATGTTGGTAATGTTTCAAACTATTGTGACTGTTTCCTCCTTCCTTTCCTTAGCAATAACTAAGGAAATTAGTCTCAAGTTCTTGACTGTAACCATTGACATTCATCCTGCCTATCTAGGGTGCTCCACAATGGTGATCTGTAAGTAGTGCTGGAACAGAATTATTGAATTGTAAGATCAGCAAGCCCTTTGACAGTGCTTTTTATAGGGCTCACAGTACTTAGCAGAGAATGTCAACATCATTATTCCTATTTAAAAAGAGTGAAATGGAAACTAACAATTGAACCACTGTCAATACCCACTGAAAAGACAGCAAAATTCCTCTTGGGAAACAGGGCACCCGATCTGGTGACCTTATTTTCATTGCTGGGAATGAAGTTATGAACATGTAGAACCTCCCCTGGCTTCATTTTCCTGTGCTAACCTTCCATCATGTTGGTGTTGCAATTTATTTGTTGTTAGACACAAGTATATGAAATAAAAGTCTATGTTTCTCTTCCCCCTTTTTTCTTTTGCTCAGTTCCAGCTTTGCACATTTATATTTTATGAATATCTCTTCTTTAGGAAAAAAAATCCCAAACACATTTACAAAAAAAAAAAAAAAGAAAGAAAAAAAAAAGAGAGAAAGAAGAACATCAAAACCCCTGATGCTAAAGCAAACAGACTGATAACAGAATACACTTTAATTCATCTGCTGGGTCATCTGAGATTTTTGTCATTTCCTTTGCTATAAAGCTGACCACATTCAGCATTAAGGGATTTCTTGGTTTAGTTTAGCTTAAGGAGGCAGAAATGTAGTGCTTTTATAGAATTGTTGATACGAGTTGAAACATGGAATATCATATTTATATAGCAGATTGTTGTATACCGTTAGTATTGTTAAAGGTGCATTTATTTTTGTTGCGTTTTTAATATATGTGTATAAATTCTCTCTTCTCAGATTTGCATGACTGGTGTCTCTGAACAGCCTGAGGCAGATATTAAGGAAAGATCAGCAGTTACAGTGAATGTCCAGGGCTGCACTAATTACAAGGCTTGCTGTCAGAAGTGAGTGACACAACAAGCTGTGGCTAATGCACCCTTTCTGTCCTTCCCTCAATGATTTTACTTTCTTGTTCAGTAATTTTTATCAGACCTCATTGTTTTTTTGTCTGTGATTTCTAACATGCCAGCAGTTGAGTAGCACCTGACAGAGATCCTAAAAAGCTCAGAATTAATTAGCCTGATGTAAGGGCTCTGACTCTACAGACTCTATATTCCAGCAAAATATTCTCTGAGCAGCTGCAGATGTGCTGCTTGAATCTATACAGCATCACAGAAAACTCTAGATACAACAAGAGTTGTATTTCCCATCTAGATACAGTATTTTTATATCCATACATTAAATATGTTAAATTAACATACATGTGAGGAATACCAGTTTGTGTATGCTTCTCAGTTTGATGACTGTCAGTACCTGTCAGAACTTCTGCTTCCTGAAAGAGATTTGTTTTTTTTCTAATGCTGGGATTTCATCAAGAACCAGAAGACAGACATCTAAGTAAGTATATTTAAAATATCTTTGTGCAAGGTTTGTCACCTTCATTTTCTGCCAAATGAGCTGTTCTCCTTCTTACTGTTGCTGTAAATCTCTTGGGATCTTTTTAACAGTAGTGTAGAAATACTACACAGTATACACATCCAGGAAACAACTACACTGCAGCAAGGTAAAATATTTGCTAAAATAAATATAGAAAGAAGAATTAAGTTAGTTAAGTTGTTATTCATGGTTGAGATGTCAATTGCCATAGTATTATTTGGCTCCTTTGCCTCCGAAGAGATTCTTGGATATTGTTTGTATGAAAATTGTATCATGCTAAGAAAATTTTGTCATTTTCAGCAAGCATACAAAAACTTGTAGGGCTTTACTGTTATGGCTATACTTCATTCACAATGCTGATTATGTTAAGGGAAGAAGAAACTTTTCCCAAGTCCTGGAGATGTTCTATCAATTTAATTTATTTCTTTTCCCTCCCTAAATAATTAAGTATTCTCATTCTTTTCCATACATCCTTAATTTGGAATAATAACTTAGAGTACCAGAAGCAGCTTCTTCAGGACATCCCCTCAGAATTTTTTCTGTCACCTGAGTAATACCTTTCCTTTCTTCGTCTGCCAAGGGTGGATGATGGCAGAATTCATCAGTGTGTAGCACGTGCCAACACCAAAACTTCCATCAGAGGCAGTATCATCTCCCAGCCTGCTCGAGTCCTCACCATGTAAATGCATTACTTGTCTCAGGGAGTGAGACAGCTGAGTGAGGCACAATTATATGCAGTGTTCAGAATAGTTGCCAAAGTAATGAGGGCTGCTGGAATTATCCTCTGACCAGGCCTTCACCTGAGGTTGCTACTGTCCTATGGCATTGTTTTTCAGCTTAGTGTCAAGCAGGAGCAGCTTCTGCAAATGGGGACTGATGGATGGTGCATGTTCACAGCAAGTCCAGCACCAGAAAGGGAAACACACTGCACTTTCACAGTAGCCCTTGGTGAAGGTGGTCCTTGACAGTTAAAAAGCAGTAGAGCCACTACTGCCTTTTTCAGTGAGCAAATAGTCCAGCACAAACATGTTTTATTTTAATTACTATTAATGATGTCATGAACCCTGTGTGTCTATTTCTAATTTGAAATGGTAGTAGATTTTGAGATTGATCTCGAAAATTGAGCCTGTTTAGTTCTCTTTGCAGAGATAGATAGATAAAGTGTCCATGGAGCGGATGGAAGTGAAAAAGAAATGTGAGCTAGTGATCACAAAACTCAACTCAGGCAGTTATATTAATGCATATAACAGTATACTGCTGTCTTAAATTTGCATTTGCAGCTTTTCCCAATCTTAGATAAGAATTTCAACACTTCAAAAGCATTCACTGATATGGTATCATTTTATATCTCTGTAGTCAGATTCTGGGTGTTGTATTACAGGTACAGCTTCAGAGTTGGTTTTTGGATGCTTGCTTATTGTTGGACTTGCTTATTGTTACTATAACAAAGCTACCTTTTTTGTGCCCTGATAGCTCTTCAAAACTTGCAACTGGATTTGGGATAAACAGTACGTGTGCAGTTGTCATTCCAGAGTTTGCAGCATAACACATTTTTTGGAGATGAAAGGTGAGATTTATTTGGCTTTTGATGGGTTGGGGGGAGAGAGCAGAAGGGGTGCCTGTGTATGCATGTATAGATGTTCTGGTTTAGTTTTAAGCAACTAGTTTACATTTAAAAAAAAAACATGGCGGGGAAGCAATAATATTTAAAGTAATTCAAACAGTTTTGTATTTGTGTTATTCTAATACCAGGTTATTGCTTACAAAGTCACTGTTGTGATATCAATACAATTTTAACTGTAAGATCAAACTTGTGAAGTAGCTCATTCTTACTCGTGTTTTCTGTTCCTCTGAATGAAAAATGCTGCATAACCCACGGCCGTGCTTTCTCTAAAATATGTGCAGTGGTATGTTTGAGTTTTCTGAGTATTTTGTTGCAAACCAAATTTATGTGATAACACCCGTTCCTGTATTAGTTTGCTGAAGTCTAAAAAGGTAAGTTTATTTACAGTAGAGAAAATACTTCATATTGGCTTCTTGTATAATGTACCAGCATGACCGGAAAAGATTTGCTTCCAGTAACAAAAAGATAAAAATCCATTAGCTGGACAGACACAAGCATATAGAAAGGCTATTGATAATATTGTAAATTGCTGTTTTCAACTTGCTTTAACATTTGCATTGATAACAATGATAATAATCAGGAAAAACAGAGACATGAAAAACAATCTAAATAAAATCCAGTTGTTTTAAATATCTACTTTTAAATTTCCTTTTTTTTTCTGAGCAGAAAGCTTTGCTGAGAAATGTGCTGATAACAAGTATCATGAAGGGCCTGCTTCATGTCACTAATAAAAGTAGTAACACTAGGGAATGATCTAGGGTATTAAGATGTAGTAACATGATTTTTTTTGGTGCAGGTTAGGCTCTCTATAAATAGATACTGTAGCCTATTTTATATGATTTTTATTCCTGCAGATAAATTTATGTATCTAGGCTCAATTCTTCACATACTCTTTTAATTCCTCTGAGAGTCTAGAACAAAAATGAAATGGGACTGCAAGTGTAAGAAAACTTCTATACTGCCAGTCTTAAACAACAAAAATGAGCACGAAAATCTCTAATTTTAAAATATATTAAGGTTTTTTTCATTTACTTTCTCGTGATTAAACTGCACTATCCAGTTGTGGTCAATCTTTTCCTACAGCTATTAGATGGATGTAGAAATTGATTTAAAAAGTCCATCACCAACTAGAAAGCCCACAATCCATTGTTTAAATTCCAAGACCTGCAGGAGCTGCTGCTAATAATGGTGGATGTACGTGAGTACCTTCAAGATCTCTCAGGTTACACTTTGCAGGATGAGTTATCATACATAGGAGCTCAGGAACATCCTATTAAGTCAAGACCAACTGCTTGCTTCTTTGGGAGAGAGAAGAGGACGTTGCTCATTTTAAATAGCAAACTACAAAAGTCAGTGATGAAATAGTAAACAAAAGGAACTATTTTAGGAGAAAAGCAGAAAAGCCACTAGGCAGCATTCACTTCCATGCCATTTTGGTTTTTATGCAGTAGAACAGTTATCCTAGCAAGTGCTGCATTACTTGGTATGCAGAACGTTTGAAGATAGATTATTAAGGAAAGGGGACAGAAAACACACCACAAAGACTTACCAACACATTGTACGTAGCTTTTTTTTCTCTTTTAACAGTGTATAAGAAAAATATGCTGTGTTACCATAATTAAAATACTCTCTCAACCTCTTACAAGTTTTTTTCAACTTCTTTTGGTTCCAGGTAGGTTTTAGTTATCCTAGTTCTATTTTATAAAACCTTTTCTTAACAATAATGGCTTCAGGAAGAAGAAATAAGGGAGAATTATGAGCCCAACAGTGGGCTGACAGTTGTGTAGTCCCTTTCTTTTGTGTCACTCAGGGTGGGGTAACGGCATACTTTTCTGTAGAATAAAGCCAGACAGGAATTGCAGCTGGCACTCAGCAAAGCAGAAGGGAACATTTTCCTCATTAAAAAATCGTTGTTTAAATCCCATCTGTACATATCCATGGTATAATGAAGTAGCTTATTTTCCACTATTTCAGTAAGGTACTGCAGCAAGCTAATGATTTTACAAGACAGTTAAAGCATCGATTTGCTGCAAATTGTTCAATCCATAACTAATGAGTAGCTGTACAGGTTTTCAGTATATCAATTTGAGTTTTCTGTTTGTATAAGATCATTTCATTTGTGGACACAGAATGATTTTTTTTCCCCCGGTAACCTTCAGCATTAACTTTCTTCAGCTTCTATGCATGTGTTGGATAAAATCCCTCTCTTCATGGTTCAGACAGCATTCTTGAAAAATACACTGTCCATTTCTACACAGGCATACATGCATCCCAAATATATTCCCTTGTAGAAGATAATATCCAAGAAGGCAGGAAGAGACAATGAATGGAATTTAGTCTCTGTCACCTGTAGCACTAAAACTCTCCTAGTTTGAAGTGGGATTATATTATGTTTCACCTGTAAATGTGTGAAGCCAAAGGGCAGCAACTATGTTATTTGGACCCACTCAGGTAATTCTTCATAACAAGCTGAAATCTGTCCTGCATGGAAAAAATAGCAAAGACAAAAAAACTCTGTGGACTGAGTGACAACACTTTTGTCACAGACTTGCAGTACAAAAAGAGGAAATTGAACCCTATGCTTGCTAACAGATTAAGTTCTAGATTACTTTAGAACTGGCAATGCCAGTATGATTGTACCATGTGTTCTCCAGCCTTTGTAGGAAAAGGGTCAATTCTATCATTATCAATTACTACAACAGATCATTTTAGGCAAAACAGTTACAGGCAAGCAGTTCAAATCCTGTCAATGAATTCATAGACTGAAAAAACATTGTATTGGTTACAAAAGGAGCAATGTGGCTCAAGGGCTGTTAGTACGGGAGTGTTGAATCATCCCATTCCAACTGCTCTTGCCTGGTGAGATTCTGCTTGCCTCTCTTTTGGACAGTTGCTTCCTCCTCATCCTCCTCATCCTCCTCGTCTTCACTTTCATCCGATTCAGCACTGGTCGTATCTTCCTCTTCATCATCTTCCTCTTCACTCTCCTCTTCTGCCCGGTGAGGTTTTTCATATTTCTACAGTACAATCAAAGAAATGAGAGGCTGACAATAGAAGATAAGTCCCTTCTTACTAGCCAGGGGCTATGAAGACATGAGCCCTTATTGCACATCATTTGAAAATGCTAACGTGCTGGAAAAAAATTGCTTTTCATCATTATGCGATTATTAGATATACTACAGTTCAGTAGCAAATATAACAAGAATGGAATATTAATAAGTAAGTGATACCTTTGTTTTTTGTCAGCTTGAGTAAAAAAAAAAAAATTTAACCCCTCAATGTCAGTTTATCTGAATTGCTGATCATTTCCCCTCCTTTAAGCGTATTAATATTTACAAAGTAACTACTTCATCTTGGGTGCCTGGTGTACAAAGACAAATGGAAGAAGTTATGTCGCACCCAAGAGTGCTGCACCATATATTTAGCAGTTATTTCTGACAATAAAAAAGAATGTTAACTACACAATTATATATTATCGTGGTGTGCAGATCTCAAAATTGAGCGGGGGTCCTGAGTGTCCGTACATACAACTGTTCTGCCAAGCCTTACTAAATGTACACAGAAAGAGGCTTTAAACTTGCAGCTAAGAACCTACCAGTTCTGACAGTAACTTCTGTTGTTAACACAATACACTACTATGTTTCAGTAACTTACCTCCATGGGATTGACAGTAATAGTCAGAGCAGAATCGTCCCAGTCCATTTCATTTTCCTTACTGCTTTCACTGTCTGTAGAGCTGTGCTGCTGGGCTGTCCGAATTCTATAGACTCCCACGGCTATGATGAAAATGAGTACACTCACACAGATCACAATTACAACAGTAGCCACGCTTGGAACAACTGAAACAAAAAGTGGAAAAGGCAACAGGCTTATAGCTACAGACCAAACTGCCTATAAAACACTAACACACTGTCTATTTTTTACTCCTTGGTACCTATTCCTCTGCCAGCTGTCTGGGACTGCAGAGGTGGTGAAGTGCCCACTTTCCAGGGCAGAGCATATACAATAATAAGTATTGCAAATCTTAACTAAAAAGTTACTATGCCTAATGTTCTCTCTTTAGTTCACTTCTTCATTACACAAGACAAGCAGTCCATCAGTTCAGAATCAATTAGTTTCAAAACAAACACTTCTGCAGTTTCATCTTACCTGCGTGTTGTCTCCTTTTGACTACAGGTAAATGAAGCTTTAACATCAGCTGTGAGAAAAGTATATCTTCACACTTGCATTTTAGAAGGTTTCAAACACTCATACTGGGATTTCCATTGCCAAGAAATAATACAGAGCATTGCTGCTCTATTGCCTGTGTTACAGTCTTTCTTGAAGACTCTTAAGGATTCAAGACATTTTTCCTCACTGTTCTATTGCACTCTGAGAAGCCTCTATCTCCAGCTAGTCATAGACAGACACCTCTCCACACTACTCTTATTGTTATCAGCTCCATAGTGGTACAGATTAGTGGAGATGTAATTTTGCTACCTAGGTACTGAAGTACCCGGAGCTACAGTAGTTCTGTACCCCGTTTTGCTGCCTTGCCTGTAAGACTGGAACTCTGAAATTAAAATAAGATGAAAGGAAGAAGTACTTTGCAATAGCTGGTTTTGCAATAGCATTTAAAAAAAAAAAAAAAACACACATAAAAACCCCAAACAGTAACATGTAACTCTCTAGAACTACCTATGTTTATTCAGCTTTATTCTTTACATACTTGCTTACCATTCAGTAAAAAGAATTCAGAATCCAACTTTCAGACAGATAGCTTTGTCCTGAGTTTAGCTTTACTGAAAAGGCTTCTTTGTATATGTATTTTAACTTATGCAGCTCAAATGTTTAGTATTTATTAAATCCAGAATTTGAACTAATGCCCTCTGTGCATCACTAGGAACAATTCTCTGCAGAGAGCTCCAGACTGAGCCCTGGACAGCAGCCAGCAGCACTGTCAGATTATTTCTTTAAAAATATTATAAAGATCATTTCATTATGCCTAGGAAAGGATAGGCAGAAACAAAGATGCCATAGTAATACAGATGTAAAACAATGTACTTCACACCATTCAATACTATAAACAAGACACCCTATTGACTAGACTGAACCAGAGTACTTAGCCTTTAGCGCAGACTTTAAAAAGAATACCAGTTTTTAGTACTAAGTACATCATCAGAAAGAGAAAACAGCGTAACAGCTTTCTGTCATAGAGGTGCCATGATCAATGTCAGGTTTCACAAGATATAACTATAGAGAATTTCCAGACTTCATTTGTTGATTAGGCTGAATCACAAAGGACATACCAACATAACAGAATCATTATGAGAAGTCGCTGTAAAGGCATCGCATACCTGAGCTGTGAACAGCACTTATGCTTTCCTCTGGATGGTGGACTGACTGGAGAAAGTGTGGCTGTACTATCACATGGTTTACATGGTCCATATAGTTGGAGTTGGTGCTGTGTAGAATATTAACCTGGCAAAAGAGATCAGATATTCTTCTGTATTCTATTTGCTGGCTCCATATACTATATTGTATTAAGAAGTTCATCAGAAGATAGGAATACTAGCATATAAACCTTGTAGACCTGATTCCTAAGCACTACTGGTCCATTGGCTATAGATGAAGTGGCACAGGAAAGTGAACTCTCTTTTTATTGATTTATCTGTATGGATAACTAGTGTACTTTTTTTTCTCCTTCCTTTCTCGCTCTGCTGCTGAGCTTTTAGATGCAGAAAGTTATTAGCAAAAACTCTGAAATCAGTGTAATGGCTGCAGAATGCTAAGGTAAGAAGCACTTTCAATAGAACTTAAACACATACTATTGTTCAAAACAAATTACAAAATTTTGAGCCTGTTGCTAAGGTCTTGCACTTCCGTAGTTACTTGTTACCTGGATTCTAGGCTGGATAAGCAATTTCTTCAGCATCAGTACAGGTCTCCTGCTGAGATGCATCAGCAGCCATTTTCTGTCTCTGAGCCAGTGTGAGGCACTGGACTGACTGAGTACCAGCAAAAATAACCTCAAAAGAGGTATCCAAATTTTCCTGCAGTGACTGATCAGACATGGGTAGTATGAAAGATTAAATCCATCCTATGCATTCAGTATCTGTATACTAACTTTCCTTCTCGAAGAAATCTGAAATCATACAAGTTACCAGCAGTAATTTCCATCTGATGGATAAAAACTACTATAACTAGGTATTGCTTGGCAAAACTGAAAAGTTTTGCAGGAAAGAAAAGTGTGACAGGTTAAAAAGCAACTAAGGAAAATAATGAAGCTGTGGTGACTTAATTTGAATGTATAGATATTAAAAACAAACAAAAACAACAAACAAACAAAAAAACCCCAACAACTGTAGGACATTTTACATGATAATTAGGGTTATGAAAAAATGATGGTGACAACCTTATCCTCCATCCTGTCTGAGCAGGAGTTCGAGACAAGCATTGTCACAATGCATCTGAGTAGACAAACCACAGAGGAATGAGAACAAATGTTAATTTCCTCTGTGTATAAAACTTCAGAACGCTTCCTGAATTTGATGTGTCAATCATTCTACAGATTTTAAACAAATCTAATTGAAAGATGGGGCAACTACTCAGCTTCAGTGTTAGAAAAGAAAGGCTTAATTAAAAGATTGCTTACCTCCAGGTTAAATTCATTGCTTGTGTAATGCCCATTCAGCTCAGAGCACTTGATTCTGAACTTTCTTTCAGAGGTGGCAGAAGTGTACCAGTTACGGTATCGAATCTGCTGAAGAACCTGTTCATAGTTGTGCATGGTGTCCACACCTGAAATGGTGGCAGCGCATTATCAACTGGGGTGCTGTGCAACAAACTGTGCACAAGAGAAATCAAACAGCCACAGAAAATACAGGACTTGGCAGTGCATCAGATATTCTCTAACAGAGGAAATAGCTTTCTGAATCAAATGTAAGTCTATAGTGGAAAAGAATAAATATAAATACGAAGATTCAGAATAAAGTATTAAGTACTCAGAGGGAAGAAAACCAAAACAAAACAAAAGGCTAGTGTGTTACCAGCACTGAGCAGAAGAACTGAGGAACCCTTCATTCACACATTCCAGCATGCTGGTCCACAAAATCCTTCACAGCTGAAGCAAGCAGTGTTGCTTTTTCCCTTGTTTGGGGTGTAGAGATGAGACAAAGCTGTGCTGTATTCATGGAGGATAATGGATAAACACAGCATGCCCAGAGAACAAGAACTAATTATTGCTTTTTGAGACAGTCTCTCCTGAAATACTTTACAGGTAGCACACCACAGCTTTCTCTCAAATTTTGTTGTCCTTTCATTCCAAGAATGTAACTGTTGGTGTGAGGAAATAAGGGAATGCAACGTCTATGAACATACCGTAGATTGAATATCCTGCTGTGGAATTTGTGGCATCTAGATGTTTTCCTTGGAGCTCAGTACGATCTAGTTCTAAACATTCCTGTTCAGGATCTAGTTCTGCACCACTGACCAAAACATCACAGAAATCCAGGTTGTGGAGCATTTCTTCCAAGACCACTGACTTATTGGCTACGAACACATGGCATATAGCACAAAGAGAAAAGAAGAAACAGGGAATTTTGCAATGACATCTGAATTGTTCTTTGCTCACATTAAGCACAGTACACTTGAAGCAAATCAAAAGAAGCATTTTGCCTGTTCAGATGCTGCAACAATGAAGGTCTAGAAACACACAGTGAGATAGAAGATAAATTTTTCTACAGAAAGATAAATTTCTCTATAGTAAATGCACGTGCAGCAGTGAAGGCAGAAAACTAAAATTTGATTCTGGAAACAAATTCTTGTTAACAATTCTGCTTTTCAGTATTGGTATTGCAGATTATAAATATCAAATATATCAATGCATAGATGATTTTCTGAGTTATTCTGTGACCCACAAGGAGTCTGCGTTATAGAGAACACTATGCCATCTATCTGAAAACATCATGGGATTATCATAAATGGCAAGAGTCTGTATGATATGACATAGAAAAATTAAGTCCTAAAGTGACTAGCCTTCAATAAGTATGATTAAAACAAAAATCTGGAATCACTGTAATAGAAGTAAAATATCAGTGTATTATTTTTATTCTGTGGTAAACATAGCACAAAGGGTCTTGCAAGCCTGCTTAGCCATCACCCCGAAGATACATAGACAGAGATAGCTCTCTTGGAACTCAACACCCATTTATATAGGTTCATTCTGGAGGGTATGTGGGTGAGTAAAGCCTAAGTCGAAAAATCTTACACCCTAGATTCCCAGCTCCTTGTACAGTGAATCTGGGGATCTAAACTATACAGCTGGAAGGAGTTATAATTTGTACTAAAATCTTCAGAGCCATCTCAAATTTGCAAGGTAGACAAATCTGAATATTATGCAACCTGATGAGCTGGACTATTACTTGGGAAGTTATAAGACAGGCGAGAGCTGGGTTGCAAAGAAAGAGAAAAGCCTGCATTGCTCAGCTTTGCTGCTCTTGCCATCACCACTGCATGAACACAAAAGGGAGAGACAGCACTTCCAGTCACACTCGGTCATGCTGCGACAGGACAAGCAGTAACACTTCAGCATTCCAGGGGGTCCCCTGCAGGTGAAAAAGGCCTCAGAGCCATAGTCATGCTGCTGCCTATGGCAACTGCCTGCTCTGCTTTTGAAGAGAGACCTGACTGGTCCTGTGACTGAGGAATACACGGTGACTATATTAGCCTCCTCAGCCTTGCCCTGCCGTGTGCATCTCTGCTACACTTATGATGATCAAAGTATGTAGCTTCCTAGTAAGAGCAAAAATAGGAATAGCTAGGTATAGGTGAAAATTTATGGTTATCTTTGTTATGTACATAAGTCTGTCAGATGGTATGCAGAATGAGAAAAATAATAGTGCAAGCTGTACAGTACAGGAACTGAGAGGTAGAATTCAGTAATCATTTGCAAAACAGTTATTCCCCAAACCAATTATTATCTATTCATTGTAATTATGAGTGGATATAAATAACAGGTGGCACATTAGGAAGTACCAGCAATTAAACAATAGTGTTACTATGTAGAATAGCAATGCTGCTATGTTCCATCTGAAGGTGAGACCTCCCTCAGGTTTCTTAAGTTCAGAAGAGGTGCTACAGCCATAATTATGGCAACAATTGTATTTAGAAAAATTGGGATATACAAAACAGATAAAGTAAACTGGAGGGCACTAGTTCCTAATTCACTGAACAGTTCTGAAGATGTCATAATATTTAGGGACACGGAGTATCATATATGCAGTGTCTCTTAAATGAAGGATAATGATCTCTTTTCCACACAGGAATTAATTTGACATACCTTAATTGTATGCAGTTGGTACTGTGATATAATGCACTTTCCAGACTTCAGAGAATAAATGCAATTTAAGGCAAGTTCTGAGTAGCATTATTATAGGGAATAGCTTCAGGGAATCCATGCTCCCACACTTGCACATCATTAATGATTTTATCTTTTCAAGAAATGTACATCCAATGACTGCTTATTCTAGCCCACAAAACATTTACAAAGATGCACCAGGTTGTTAGGTTTTTCACTTACTTAGCAAAGAATCATCCAAAAGGTTAATTCCTTTAGACAATGTTTTTAAACCATATTTTTATTTGTAAATATTCAATCTAGTGTCAAACAGTAGCACACGTTTTTCAGCATTAGAAAAAACTATCATCACTGAAAATCACGTTTGTAAATGATTACATTTCCGTTATGTATGGGAAACTGAGTCACAAGAGGACTATGTTACTTACTGAAGTATCATCCAAGAGTCAGTAGCAGAGCTGGAAGTGTAAGAACAGACTAAAACTCCAACTATAGTCAATCAGTACTTTCCACTGTCACAACTAATAAAATTTGGTTACAAAATTTAATGGAAATACATTAGTCAACAGAGTATGTAGAGAAGAGTACAAAGTAGATACTCTGAAGTAGGCAAGACATGAAATAGAAAGCTGCCTTTTCAGAAACACTTGCTGATCAATCAAATGAATAGGGATTTGTTCACTTTTTGATCTGTTTAAGTAAATGTCTTCACTACAGCGTTGCTGTTGACTAACGTGGCCTAAAATAATTTGGGTGAACTGACTTTGTGCTACCTTTTTGCATTACCCTTTCAAAAATGTGTCTCATATATAATATTACTCATATTACTGAGTAAGCAATAATATTTAAAACCAACAAACCTCCATCATTTTTTTTTGAATGCTCCATCTTTGTGACAGTGCTGACAATCCTGATGTCAGGCAGCAGAATGACACCTCTTTCACTTTCAAATTGTGCAGCTGGTCTAGAAAAGTGGTCCATCCCACTTATTGTAATCTTGGGCTCATTGGCCTGAAGCACCATTACATACGCATCGATATCTGGGATATTAATGCAGACATCTTCACCAAAACATCTGAAAAATATGTTATTAACTGGATGTAACACATTGCACATCAAAGGTGTGTGGCACGTGCATCGTCTAAAACCCACCTGATGCCTTTTATTATTTTTTTATTTTAATTTTATTATTTCAGTTAATTCCTTCCTTTGCTACATAAGGACATGCATCAGTACCACAAGCATCTGTAGATCAGCTAGCAGTAACAGTAACAGTTCTGTTTCTTCTATCCCTGCCCAGATTCACAACTACTGAAATTACAAAGACAAGGTTAAAACAAGGAGCTTTGTGACAAGCTTTACGTTTAATAAGGTCTCTGTATATTTAATTGACATTTAACAAAGAAGTGCACAGTTAATAAAATGAACTGGATGATGACAACTATGTATAGGAAACCTAACTTGAAATTCTCAAAGCGGTATCTAGTGAACATAATGGAGCATCTTATCACATGTGACTTAAAAGGGCCTCTAATGACCCATTTATATTGGACCCATCATGGACACATTCTGGCATTCCCTAGTTTTTAGTGGGACCTATAACAGCATTTTTATTTGAATCAGCAGCATGTTTTTAAGTTAATCTCCAAACACTCTACCTTATAGCATGTTTGCACAGATCACGGACAGCTCTGGGGTGTGCAAGCTGAACTCCATCTCAGTGCCACAAAATCAGAAGTTGCTCTCCATAGTGTGGTCAGCCCACAGCACCAGAGTAAACCAAGTAAAGAACTGTACACAGGGAGTATCTGTCACTAGCTGGTTCTCTCTCAAATCCTCTCTCAGCACTCTGCCCACTCTGGTAACGGAGAGGTACCCCTGGGAGCTCAGGAGTGGCAGATGGTTGTTTTATTACACAGAACTTTTTTATTCTTTTTTATATTACACAGGTTCTGTCACAATTCTTGCATGAAAATGGAAGGACAAAGATTTTTGTTTAACACCAAACACCAGTGCTTCTGTGATGACAGCCACAGAAAGATATGCACAGACAAAGACTACTTCAAGCATAGTTACAAATGCTCTTGCAGCTACATAGTCTGTAAGAAGTAATAGGCCACCTTAAAAATCATGTATATTAGAAGAAACTATATTTTAATGATCATTAAAATAGTTATGCAATAAATGCATACACTCTCCAGTCCAGATTGTATGCTCCAGACTATAAACAGAATGCAAGTAAATTACATTCAAAAGTTTCTTACAAGGAAAATATCAAAAGAAAACCATGAAGTAAATCAGCACACAAGTAATTGAAATTCATTCTTTTTGCTCAAGAATGTCAAAATATGATTTTATAAGTCCCCCTTTTACTTGTCTGAAGAAAGAAATAATTCATTGAAAATATTTCTAATCAGGTTAGCTGAATTTAAACTTACTGGACTTTAGATGAGACTTTGAGACGTCGCACGCCTGCAGTAGGAAACTGTCTAGAGTTGATGTAAGAGACCTTTCGGAGAGCTCGATTTATATTCTCAATGTCATCTCCTTCCATGACAAGGACTGACTGGGAAGGGTTGAAGTGATACTGGGGGAAATGCATATGATTAGTATTTAAGGTACCAGGTACAGAGTACAAAATAAGACGTTTTTAATGAGTGTTGCCTAGATGTAAGTTTAAAATCTAGTGATTTAAGAAAAAAAAATAACCCTTAGTTGCTGTTGTTGACTGAATATGTGTATTGTTACCCCCCCCAAAAAAAGTTTCAGGTCTATCATCTATATAATATCCTATTATCTACTGTACTAATTAATTTTCTAGTAAATTTATCCAGATATGTCATATTTTGCCCAGTATTATCTACTTTTCTGATACTAATTCTGCAGCTGTAGAGCTGAAAACATAACCTTACCGTTGTTATTACTACTATATGGGTTTTTTTTTTTTAGGTCATAGGCATTCCTCATATAAAAATATTGACTTCTACAAGATCAGTATGCAGAAATATATTTTTCCTGCTTTCTATTTAATTTTACTCTGGACAGTCTTTCTGACATATACTTCAACATGATTGAACAACAACAAAAAAAATACAGTGTTTCCCTCCTACATCTTCATTAATGTCAGACAAAATAAAGGGGATTCTCCTGTCTCTGTCTCATGATCAATAAGGGTGTCATGATTTAAGATGAAACTGCTGCTCACAAAGCCAGCTGCTAAACTGAGCCAACAAACCTTGCAAAGACGGTGGCTATTCCTGTAGCCTTGATTATTCTCTATTCCATTGCACTGAACTCAAAGCAGTTCTGCTGACCAAGATATTTTGCTATGTATCTGCATAGCAAGCAATTGATTTTTATCTTCAGCATGATTCATCTTGATTCCTTTTTTTTTTTTTTTTTTTGGTCTTTTAATTGGTTCAGCAAACCATCTGCATTGCAGAAAAAGCAGATTAGCCCCCCTAATTTTGTACCTTCCAACTGACAGCGCAGAACACAAAGAAATGCACAGAACACAAGGAAGTGCACCCTCCTCTCACACTGCAAGGCTGGATATTGATTACATATATATATGAGCGTATTCTATTATGTACAGACAATGACTGTCTACACTTCCTTACAAAGACTGAGGTTAAAAAGTGAGTAAATAGACTATGAAGAACAAAACAAAGTGTAGGTTCTCTGTTGAACAGAACACAGAGGACTGGGTTCAAAGCTTGAAGGGTATTTTTTTTAACAAAGAGTAGTCATGACATGAGTCACAGCCCACATGCACTTCTCATTTCTATCTGTAAAAGAATAAAATGAGCAGAAGGAGACTCTAGCTAGCTAGTTAACTTAATAGCTCAGCTGCCAGAACAGCTGGAATGCTGCCAAAGGGATTGGAGGAAGCCCTAGTCTGAGCCATTTTTGTCTTTCTCATTAAAAAAGGCTAAAAATAGCAACAGTTTAGACAGTGTCTCTGAGAGCTGTTACAGATATGTGAAAATGAGGCTGCAGACAGAAAAAGTCCAATGCTGCTGTGTCAGGAACCGAATTACAGCTACACTGCTCTTTCCTAGGTGGGTGCAAGGGTGAAGTGTGTCCAAAGTGCCCAGCAGAAATTCCTCCCAACATCAGTTTGCCAGCGTTGAATCTGCTAAGTACCATGTAAACAGCTATTATCTGTACAGCTGTGAAACATGTTTATGTGAGATCATGTATGTTTATGTTTGAACAAGAAAGTATTAATTTTCTGTTGAAGTTCAGGTGCCAACTGTTCCACTTTTATCTGAGCTTCTTTTTGTCTGCACCAACAAGAAACCCTACCACGATCTCTCTCTGACTGCTCCTTTTGTTTTTGCCTCCTGCTGTTACACTGACTGTTGATCTGGCTGAGAAAGTAAAAATGAAAGCAGTAACTTTAAAGAAATACCATGCTTCATCTGTCCTTTGGAAAATGAAAATGTTTTGAAGATTATTGCAAAAAAGAAAAAGGAGGACAACAATTCTTCATTTTTCCTACCCTGCTGCTAGAACAGTAAGAAAACCAATCACCTGCACTGGGCAGCAGTGGGAGGCATCCTGGAGTTTTCTAAGTCCATGAAAAAATAGACAATTCAAACACTTACATTTCAAAATGTGAAAAAAGGGAAGGTATTACTATACTTTCAAACATCACGCACCAAGTATAAACTTCTTTAGTTCATGTAAAACCCCAGCAAAAGAACTTACAGGCCTGCATATCAACTCAAATTCCAAAAGCCCCTAGCTGCTCGCTGCATACACTGTCTATTTAAAATAGTTCCTCCTTAGCTTTGCACCTTCAATTTATATTTTTACCCTTGTTTTTAGAAACATATTGGTTATAGTATACCACTGTATCTTATCACCCGGACAGATACTGAATTTTATTTCAGGTCAGTTTCCTTTCTGGTAAAACAAAAGGTTTAGCTAATGAAATGTAGTAAAAGGCACTTCCAGTGCATAATGCAGATCAAGTATTACAGCTCCACTCTCCTCTGCCCTGAAAAACAGACTGCCAAAGAACCTGTGATGTTTCAGTGATTACACAGACTGCAGCCAAAATATCTTCCCAGTTACTTGCATCTGAAGCTTAGTTCCTTCAGAAGATGGTATTGTGATTTGTGTACTAGGGAACAGCTTACCTGTGTTACACACTTCAGGCAGAAGAATACCTATCATCTAACAGGGTCAGTGTGGGACATCTTAAAATGAACTGCTTATGTAAGCACTGTGGCAGTGATAATCAAGATCCTACAAGTGTACCCAAGAGAAGAAAACTTGTCTTAATGAATGCAAAGCTGTCTGACCACTACATCAGTTGGCACAGAATTTCTCATTCTCTGTTCTCCAATCTTAGAAAAAATGCTAAAGAATCAGGGAAGACAGTCATATGTATAATACGGACAATAACAATGTGTATGAAAATGTTTAATTTGAATTTCTTGCTTTTTTGTTATCCAGTTTTCCTCTTGGAGTACACTCAGAATTTCTCAGACCACCTACACTGGAACTTCTTTTTGCCTCTAGATGAAAGATATTCCAAGTACATTTTGCATTGCTTTAAAGCTGTTTGAGTTCCAAAGAATTACTAAATTTTGATCTATGTCTACTCCTGTAAGACTCTGAAAATAAGCATGAATGAGAACATGACTTGGCAATTCTTACAGGCTGTGAAATTTCAGCACCTTACTTTCTCAGCATCTGCCTTGGTAGTAACAGAAAAATTTTGTTTTGCAGTATCATAGCTCTTCTGCTGTTCCACTTTTTCTTTTCATGGCTTTATGGGAAATTACATTAGGTTTAGGAGCACACTTTTGTACTGTGTGTACTCTACCTCGGTCTCTCCATAAATCATTTCTAAATTTTTATCAAAGATGATGTCAGTTCATTCCTTACCTTCACTCCTTGGCCAAGACTCTCAAGTGAATTAATATCCAGACCTTCCTTGCAGGCCTGCAAACAGGAAATCACTTTCTGACTCTCAATTTTTCCAGGACGGATAGTAAGACTGGCTAGGCTGCCGTGGAAATACTGAGCAAACCTAGGCTTGGTGACTTCACCTCCTACAAGAAAGAAAACATAAAATGATTATTGTTATCGATACAGAAAACATAGATCAAATAATGCACGTTTTTCTAGTGTGTACTTAAAGAGCTGGAATCATGTTTAGTCAATTATTTTTGAAGTTCCATGTATTGTGCTAAGTAGAATTGCTTTGCGGGTTGTTGGATGCTACCAGAAACCTGTCTCTAAGATTCTTGTCAGTGTTCTTCTAGTACTGTATTCAGGTGCTTACAAAGCTGTGATAACATCCTTTGAGACAAAAGATGACTTCCCAAATCTGTGCCCAGTGAAGCAGAGCGATTTCCAAAAATGAATTAATGAGATTATTAGAGTGATCAACCATGAATTTCAAAACATTTTTGAGGCCTTATTTATTTATGCAGAAACTGTATCTGCAAGTTCTCTACTACGAGTTCTCTTACACAACCTTTATCTTTCTCCACTAAAATGAGCTCTGACAGACCAAGATGTGCTCTGTGTAAATGATGTCTAGGTCTCTAGGAATACGGTATAAATTCGAGCACCGACTGCACACTAATTCACAGCACTATGCTAAAAGGCTTACAGTACCTTACCCAAGCCAGCTCGTTTGGTGCTAGATGAGGTCCCATCACAGTACACTGCATTAGGCCCTCTAGCTATGCTCTATTCAGCTTCACTCTGTGCAGCTTCAAAGGAAGACTGATCTTTAGGAGTTGTCAATAAAATGTGATTATATACCGCCTGCAACAGCAATGATAGCATCTAAATTACTCTTGGGATATTTAATGATTTACTCATTCTCCTCTAAGACAGTTTTTACAGCTTGCTTTTCCTGCAAGCGTTAGCTGAATTGGTGCTTGTGAATTGCTGCCCACCTTGAGCCTGAGAGGACCAAGAAAGCCACCCAGCAGTGAAGCTGTGCAGACTAATTGCATTAGCCGTGGATAAGCTGCTGTAATTGTTAGATAACTCATCTTCACAGCTTTGTAGCTTTAGTTCCCAATAACCTATTTCTGCCTGGCAAAATACCTCAGGCTTGAACTTTAACTTGAAGATTTGTGTGTGGAATAGTATCAGGAATAGGAGATAAAGTGGCAACTTTAGTTTAGGCTGATGTTACTGCCTGAAAGCCATCTCTTTTAATCTGTGCAGTAGAAGCACAACATTTATGTAGTGCTATGTGGTAAGAAAAATATACACTGTTGTGCTGAGAGTGAAGATGGTGTCTAGGCATGCTTTTTCTTCACAGAAGCAGACATTTCTGTTCTTTTATGTTAAGCCTACAGTACAAACTGCCACTCTTTCTACTTCAAAGAAAGATCCTCAAAGAGAAATTATGTTTTTTCTCTTCTTTCATTTGTCTGCCTGTTATACAAAAAACTTCTTCTGGGCCAAATTTTTTAGAGGTTTCATAGAACCTTTCAGTTTGTTCTGTAATTTAGGCCAATCAAGACAATTGGTAAATAGTTAGTACCCTACATGGATGCTAGATCTTCCCAAAAGTGTCATTACATTTATGTATTTGAGTTGTCTTGAAAAGCATATTTTGCCACTAATAATATAACAACAGTGTACCTGTGATAAGATGACAAAAACAGGTGAAATCTTACAGAACAAAGGAATTGTTGTGTTTTGAAGCTTCTCATATCCTTAACATAGTTCTGAAGACAACAAGCTCTAAGGTTAAAACCCTAGGTTTTGAAATTTAGAAACATACAGTACGTGTGCCAGCAGATTGTAACAGATGAGATGCAAAATGAAAAGCAGTCTCAGATAAGCTAATGTATTTAAATACGAAACTAGTTCCTTAAAATGTATGAAGGAATAGACAAGAAGCTCAAACAAAGAATTAGGTGCTATGGCTATCTCTGGCAGTATAAGCAATATAAACCAGCTGAAGTGAAGCTACAGAGCTGCATGACTGCTACTTACATCTGTGCATAGAAATTTCAGGTTTTAATTTATTTTTTTTTCTGTTCTTATTTTATTTCAGACTATTCCTTCTCAGATGCCATCAACAAAAAACATTTATTTTTGGTTCAAATGTAGTAGGTACATGGCTGGTGTGTACAGCCAGTTAGTTTCCTCCAGCAGGAATGCAGTTCATGTGCTCAGACACTGGTCCGTGTGGACAAAAGCAGAGAACTGGGGATGATTAGGGGACTGTTAAAAGTGTGCTCCTGATCCAAAGTGACACACTAATGTGGATGTGCAAACACAGCAGCTCTGTAAGTGGTTATCTTCAGTCTGTGAGTGAAAAATAGCTGGGAGTAGCTACTGTCCTTTTGTATCAGTAGAGAAAATATACAAAACTATACCCACAGTTACAGCAAGACGGTTCATACTAGGACAGTTGCAGCATAACAGCTGATAGCAGGATCTGAAGGGACACTGGGGGATGACCTGGTCTGTCCAATAGCCCCAGGACAACATCAGCTGTACCCCACCATTCTACAGAATTGCCAGAGATGTTCTGAAGACAAACTCTTCAGAACTCTTCAGAAGATAGAGGTCTCAGTCTACTTCATTGATTACTGATCTTTATAGGGTTGAAAGCTTATTCGCAAAGAGAATGTTAGCTGTCAAAATATTACCATACTTTTTCCTCTGACAGGCTAACCAAGATCTTTCCTTTAACTGCTTCCACCTAGAACTGTAGATTCTGATCATCCCTCTTGCTTTCTCTGGAAGTGCTGCTATTATTTACTGATCACAGCTTAGAGGTCTTCTGAATGTTACGTGTGTCTTACATAGGACATCCCTGTTAATTCAGGATAGCATGAAAAAGTAGTTTTTTGCACATGAATAAACACGAGGAATTGTATATGCACACTTAAAGAACAAATACTCTTGCACATAATTAGAAAGAATAGGCTCCCAGATAAGCTTTTCATAAGCACCTTTTGCCAGAGCCAAAGACAAATGATATACCTACTAATTTTATCCACTAAGGTGAATAGATGTCATTACATCTGACTCTTATCACTCTTGTAATTGCACCGTATTGACATTTTCATATTCTTCTACATCAGCATTTCAGAATCTTCTCAGCTCAACAGGGTACGTTAGCTTGATGTGTTTCGGTAGTCAGCAAATTATCAGTCCCATACAGCTCAAACAACCAGAACTGAACTCCACAGAGGTGGTACAGAAGCATTAAGACCTTTCTAGTAAATAGAAAACCGTAACTCCTCAATTGCCTAGCATCATGTGTTTGACTCAGCTGTTTACTGATTAACATGCTGTAAACATGATTTCTTGGGGGATACTTCAGAATTGAACAGTAAGGGAAATGCTAACTGTCCTTACTGTCAGTCAGGGGGTTAAAGTTGATGTATGAAACACACAAAAGGCTGAAAAAACCTTTTAGAACAATGCCAATTACTTATCCTCATTACAGACCCTGTATTACAAATCTCAGCTGCTGCTTTTATCACACATTCTTGACACCAAAACATTTCAGAAGAAAGGTCCTGCTATGATTTGTTGATCACCCCACTGGTTAAAACCACTGTAACAGGCAATTGTTCCAAGAAAAAAACAGCTAAGACATAGACACAGGGCTTAGAACAGACTGCCAGCAGAAAGCAAGAGCTGCTTCTGGAATTATCTAGACAACTATAACTGCCTGGGGCAGTTCCTATTTTAATGTAACAACAATATTCCCCAAATCCTCACCCAATTCTAATTACTATCAAAAAGAAAGGAAAAATAGAAATCTCAGTTGTAGTTTTCTATACCTTTTCATACAGCATTGTGTAGGAATTGGTGTATTACTGTTGCAACTGCAAAATGGTTTTATTTTTTTCTTTCCCAGTTATCTGCCTGCAGACACCACAACGTATACTGCCTATAGAATCTGTTCAGGAAGGAGTTTCAAATGCATCAAGTTCAGTTTGGTTGTGTAATTTTTAATCTTAGGCCACATGTACTATATATTAAATGAAGTAATAGAAAAAGTTTAGCCGAAAGATGGTTCAACTCCTACTCCTAAATAATCTACCTCACAGAAGCATAGTAGTATTAAATGTGAACTACATTAAAAAATGAGAGATATTTGCTAGAATTATGATAGGACTCTAAATTAAGGCAGGAACTCTGTCTAGACCTTCCCGTGTAATGAACTCCCTGAAAAAAGAACAAAGGCTTTTAAATGATATTAAAAAGAAAGATAGATTATACTATAACAAAATACAGGATACATAATTTTAGGTAGAGGAAAACTAACACTGATTATGTCAAAATAAAAAAATATTTCTACAACTTTTCTCACGCCAGATGTGATGTTAAAGCTGGAAACCAGCCACCAGGCTTGCTTTTAGGTAAGTCACTGACTTCCCTGGGCTACATTACATTTACTCAGTCTCTGACAAAATTAAGTTAGAGTTGGTGAACAGTTTGATAGGTATCTCATGACATACTTTAAACTAAGAACAAAAAAGTAGTAAGATTGCCTTAGATTTTTGGTACCTTAGAATAGTATTAAAGGTATTCTGTTATATATTCAACGTTAATGGAATACTGCAATTAACTTAAGTTCATCCTTTGGAGATGAAAGGGTGCAAATATCAGGTAAGGATGGATCGGTGTATATTTGTACTTATGTATAGGTGTAATATGACAGTGATTAAGTAGCTATCATAATACTCATCTGAGTTTAAAATGTATCAATTACTAACAGTGTGCCTTTATTCTTCGTTTTACCACCAAACAAAGATTGGATCTTTACTCTCAAGGTAATCATAATCTAACAATTAGATTTGCTTCTAATGTTCCTTATGCTGAATAGCTCTAGCATACATAAAATGCCCAAATTTTTCAAACAAAACACTGTGCAGATATCAAACTGGCAAACAAGAAGAGAGAAAGTGAACCATCATTAAAGAGTGGTGAGAAAATAAAATATATGCAAAACCATATTTTCCTAATTGTACAGTTTGCTTCACACCATGCTTCATGACTGTATTAAGTGAAAACTAGACACAGCATAAACAAAAGTTAAACACAGAACAGTAACGAAGAGAACTTCACAAGAGCAGATAAGCAGAAAAGGACAGTTTCAAGTGAAAGCAGAGAATAGAAAAGGGAACAGATGTTGGTTATATAAAAAGTAAGAAAAAAGAAATATTATAAAAGGTAGAAAACAGGAAAAACTAGTATTTAAGTGAAGGCTCATACAAGTATGGCTTTGGAATGAGACTTTCAGGTTTACTTTACCCTCACCTTTTATATCTGGTCTGTAAGAGAGTAAATTGTTTAAATCAGTGGAATTACTGGTAATATACCAGGATGTGGTGGAATCACTGTCCCTGGAGATGTTCAGGAAACGTTTGGATGTTGTACTATGGGACATGGTTTAGTGGGAAATATTGGAGATAGGTGGATGGTTGGACTGGATGATCTTAGAGATCTTCTCCAACCTTGTTGATTCTGTGATTCTACATGAACAGTGCAGAATCGGTCCAGAAATAGTGAAAACAACAACAAAAATATCATGCAGAGATTGAAAGAGGGAGATAAGCAGAGTTGCACTTTAGACTACTATTTAGACAGTTTGCTTAAAGTTGGACATTAAGGGAAGTATTTAAAAATAGTGAAGTCAAAAGATACAGATGATAATATTTCAGATTAAATATATTAACGGGATTCAATAGTTCTTTAGATGGTGGAATTGCAAAGCTTGCTAATGTCCTACCTGTTTTCATCCTTGGACTTTCATCAATTATTAATCTGGATCTCTTTTTATACCAAAACCTTTTAGTAACTATTTCATTATTCAAGTAGCAAGGCTTCAAGTAGCAATTCCATCTCGAATTCAGAATACTACCTTCTACTGCCACATTACCTTGCCAGCAAGCACCGACTGTCAGCTGCATAGCTATGTGAGAAGGGTGAATAGGCCAATCATTGGTCACAAGGTAAGGTTCATATGTTGTTCCATCCATGTATAAGGTAACAACAGGAAACTCAACATTGACAACATAGTAATGCCATTCTTTATCACAAATCTGAAAGACAATGTAAGAGAAAGATTAATTAGCATTTACTGACTGGTGACTAATTTTAACACCCCATACACTTTTATAATTGTACAGTTTCTAAATCACACTCAGAAAAAAAACACATTGCAATTTATACATTGTTGAAATTAATGACAGTATAAAACTATTGTGATAAATGATATATTATACACAAAATATATTTGGTAAAAAAAAGTCATTTTAAAGCACACTCTTTGAGAACAAGGCATGGCTGAAACAAACAAACAAAAAGACTATTTATTTGTGTTGTATCTTTGCTTTTGTTAATACATAAAATTAATTTCCTAATATCTATATCAGCTTTTCAAAATGCAAAATTAAATGTAAGAAGTGTGTACTTGGTACGTTTTGGCACTTACTGGAGGTCCTTTTTAGCTTTAAGAAAATACATAGCACTTAGGTTAATTAATTATTATCAACTTTATGATTCACTGATTGTGAACTATTGCACAGGTATTTAGAAAGTCCTGTTCAATGCCAGGATTTCTATTGTGCTCTGTACACATATGAACTGAGTTCAAGCAGCCTCAGGCAGGCAACCCAAATCTTCTCCATGCTTCCTTTCTCAGTCTGTTTTTTTTTCCCCTGATATTCTGCACAATGAGGATCCATATGGTTTCACTGATAAGCATCAGTTTTGAAAAGCAGTAGCCACAGTTACACTGTACTTTTAAGGTGAGAACATCAGTGTCAGATCTCACAAGAATTTCTGAACAGGATAACCAGGGATTACTGCAAGACTGTCACATTTTGTTTGCTAGCTGAATCAGTGCCTCTGAAGACAGAAGCCTAGTGTGCATATACAAACACTCATCCAACTCTTTTTTTCCCTTTATTTTTCAGATTTAAAAGTTCAAATAAATAAATCACAGCAAATTGGAAGGACAGGGCCATGTTTTTAGAAATAAATAAATAGCTACAGTCATGCTGCTTTCAGTTCTGCAGAGATACTTGTTCTGATGTATTAAGAAACTGAAGTGTGTGAATGCAGATATCCTTGCTGCTTTCATAGATGCAAGGAGAAAAGTGACAGTTAAGCATAAAGCTGTCCTTGGCCAGGTTACATGCTATTTCCAGCAAAATCTGCCCTTTGGAAGCAAAAGCTAATGTTTTGTTCCAGAAGACACTTAAACAAGAACTTAATAACTTCTATTTCAAATGGATACATTTATTACTTCAGACATCACAGATCCACAGCTAGAGATAAATGCAGCGAAGTGGCTGCTGGAGTCTTCCTGGTGTAAGCAGTAGACAGCACAAATATTTTCTGAAGGTTAAATGAGCTGAAACCAAAATTGAAAGTAAATAAATTGGAAGACTGAAAACTTTATCGAAGAAACAGCGATTGTGAATACGATATGCAGTTCTGTCTTTCAAGTTAAAACAGCTCACCAAGTGTCCTGACCTGATCATTAGACTGTGATTCGTCATAACCCCACTTGCCAGCCATTTTATATGAAACAAAATAAATGATATGCCTGAGTTTCAGAGACCTTGTGTGATAAAAATGACAGGGGTTAATATTTCACATTTTTCAGAGAACCACCTCAGAGCACTTCTTTCTTGTAACCTTAAGCTGCATCAGTTGGAACATGCCAACTACTATTAAATGAGAGCAAGCAATCCTTGTATTTAAGAATAGAGCATTTTAACATGGCAACAACAAACATTTGTGGCCATCATATACATAAAAAGCATAGCAATGTGTAGCTGCTCTGATTATTCTAGTGACTGACCAATAAGGCAGTGACATTTTTTTTAAGAGAAAATGCTGTCTGGAAACACAAGATTGCACAGTCGCCACAATTTAAGAATCCAACAGTGGGTCTTCAGTGCTTCCAAGAAAAATGCACACCTCCTGCTGCAGATAGTCCACAGTCAACAAATGACTCACTTTAATTTTTTCTGATACATTTTGGAACATAAGATACAGGAATTACAGACAGCTTGATAAACTCTTCAAACCATTACTTTTGGGTTTGTGTCTTGTTCCTTAAACTTCAACAACACTTAAATACAAGATGGTTTTGTTTTGTTTTTTTTTTTTTTCCAAATGAGAATTTAGGCATTTTAAATATCAGCTTCCTTACTGATTTGAAAAGACAGAAGCTCCTAGGTTATTAATTCTTGTATGATTGCAATACAGCTTCGGTACTCAGATACAAAATATATCCCCCTGAACTATCTTCAAGCACCTTTAAGTGTTAATGAGTCCCAGCATTAAACCAAACTTTCTACAAGATGGCAACAGAATTATTTAAGAAACTCTGAAATACATCACAGCCACTCAACAGCAGGTACTATTTTGTATAACCAACAAAATTAGAAATAAATAATTGTGGAGTGTAATTTGTTATGCTGTTATTTCAGACACCTTCTTCACCTTGTTAACATAGAATACCAATATTTCCCCTGAGTGCATTCCACAGTAGCAACAGAATGTAATGATGGCAGTGAAGCAATGAAAATAAAATGATAAAATATACTAGCTTGGCAAATAAAGAAATTATAGACATCCCAAGTAAGAACTTTATTTAAAAAAAAAAAAAAAAAAGTCTAATTTGCAAAGCTATCCTAATGAGATAAAATTACAGATGAGTAAGCTTGGTTTTTGAAGACTGCTGGATTGCTATACTGGTCTAATCACTTCATCGTTTCAGTCTGCCTCTAAACATATTAATCATATCATGGTCAATTAACCATCTTGAAGTCTCAGAGATGACTATAAACCATTACACTGGAATACGGTTTTATGAAATAGAGAAAAACAGATACAACAGTGTGTGAAGAAAGTTTCTCAAGACATGAAAGCTCTCAGTTTTTTTTTCCTGTATAGTGGAATGCTTAGGAATGGGCTGACACCAAACTACTCTGGTTGAGAAGCACATGGCAGTCAGAGAGTTCCTTGGTCTGCAAAGCATTTCTGCTATGACTTTATACATAAGGACCAGATATGCACACATCATGCCCTTTACAGCTCAGAGATGTTTTTTAGCCTTAGTTAGCTTACCTGGGGCATCTGTTTGGCTAGATACACAAAGAACCTGTACTTCAAGAAGTGCCCCAGTGCCTCGGATCAACAACAAACATTCACAATCCTCTGAGTAGCTTCCTAAAAGCCCCTTTTGTTTCTATGTTTTTGCCAGTTAGGTTCAGCAGACAGGAAGTTCAGCCACACAAAGAGCAACATACATCTGGTCAATGCTACTTAGTGCCTGTTTTGGGTCTATTCCTTTAGAGTTGAGAAAGCAATTATTATTTCCATTCCATCTATCAAATGCATGAAGCTTTAAGTTTATACTCCTTTCATGGAAAGATCAGATAATGAAGTAAAAGTCTGGATAGTCTCAAGAATACAACAATCTGTTCATTCATTTCAGATCTGCTTCAGATTTTGTATTAGAATCCCAAATTATTTGTTTAATTCAATCATGGCATTCTGTTGCAAACATACTTTAGACATAAATGAGAAAATTAAACAAGCAAACAAAAAAACCCACAAAGTGAACAGAATGGAAAATTTAAAAATGCTATAATGCTTTCAACCTAACTGGCACGCTTTCCCATTTTTTCCTCTCACTGTCATCAGGGCAGTATCAGCATAGCATTACATGCTCCGAGTTAACTAAGTTGCATTCTCTGACAGAATTTTCCATGTCAGGTATTTGCAAACAGCAACAGAGGAATTTATTCACTAGGTTACAGCCTCATTCTTACATTTCTGATATGCTGCCATCTCATCTGATGTATTTAATTTTTTCACCTTCAGCATTTAATCTATTATAGTACCTTAAATACCAACTGATACAAAATCAAAAGTATCACTACTATTGGAGTCTTTGATTTTGTCCTGACCCCTTCCTCAGTTTTGCCTTTGCTAACACATTGCTCACAGCCTGGTCAGCTGACTGCCTCCGGACCTTTCACTCACACATGGATTATGCTTAATTCCAGACTTAACAACAGATTCAAGTTTGAATAGTTTCAAAAGAATCTATTTGCCAAAGCGAATCCTAAGCTAGGTGAGAACATTAGTAGTGTTGTGATGATGCTCATGTTCAAAAGTCAAATGCCATTGGAAACGTTAATGGTGCTAGAGAACCTTCTCTAGGGGCCGTAAGTTGTACACTTGGGCTGAAGAAGAGATGAACTGCTACCAGTGACTTCTGTGCAAAAAAACTGAAAACAAGGTGGTTAGTTAAGGAGAGTGTTGCAGTCATTGCCAACAGCTGGGCTGGTAAAACCAATCTGAGATCTGCTTTCATTTCTTTCAGCCTGGAGGTGTTTTAAGTCTACTAACACAGAGCTTAACATATTGAAAGTGAATAAAAGATAGACAGAAATTGAAAAAGTATTTAATTTTCCTTCTCCCTTTTTCTTTTCATGGAGAAATTCTGTGCATTATTTCCATTAAACTTTTGGATTAATTAATTCATAATTGAATTCTTATCAACAAAGATGACATAAATTGGAAAAAAAAGAAGTGCAATGTTGTTTCTTCACCCTAGCCTTCCATAACATTAAATCATCCTGCTTAAACTGATGAATGCGTGCTGGAATGTCACTAAAGGACATACTGGCCATTGAGAACTATAACTGTCTCTAAGACCATGGAGCACTTCACTAGCTGTCTTTTCTTCATTACAGATGAATTCTGTGTCCTTTCATTAGATTTATTTTCTGCTTTAGTGTTTCAACGAGTAAACATTTTACTTAGATCACTCTATACTGGATGAAGCTATTATAATCATTGAAAGCAAAAATCTTACAATTGAGAAATGGCTTTATTGTCAAGGATGTAGCTATAGAGTTGATGGGGTCACCATCATGAAAACTGTGAACATGTAGCTCACTGAGGCTCTGTATTTTAAATTCATTCCATGAAAGAAGACAGCAAATTCAGGGAATCTCCTTTTGATCATATGCTTTAGCACTGTCCATTTTGTTGTAACACCCAGATCTACCCT